CCCTCTCTCTCTCTCTCTCTGTGCTATAAGACGCATAACGCGATATTTTTCTCATTGTTGTACACTACGATGTCGTATTTATGGCTATAATATTAAATGTTACTATAGTGCCGACTATAATATTAAATGTACTATAGTATATAAGAAAGTGTCTTAACATTTAGCAGAGAAGAAGAAAGGGACGCGTCACGTCTAGACCTTCGTGACAACTCGTGGTAGAAAAATAATGCAATGCTGCGCAATAACGTGACCGTGTATCACGCGAGCTCAATAATCACCCAAAATAATTGTAATTTATCCTGAATTTTTTCGACAAAAAATAACGCTTGTTAATCACCATTAGCCATATGTTACTGATCAGCGTTTATTTATCCCATTAGAAACAGTTGCGATGTGCACTGATACGTAGCAATGACGCGTCAAAAGGGCGTCTCTCTCTCTCTCTCTCTCTCTGTCTCTCTCTCTATCTCTCTTTGGTGACAATCCATTATCTAATTCACGATATCCGATAATTCGGGTCCATCACGAGCTCCGGTTCTAATGACTCGACTGTATTGCGCTCAAAAGTCATGTTTGTAAACACGCTGCGAGCACTTCCATGGTTTTCGCATGAAGGGCTACGGGATGTACACAAACCTGATTACTGCGTCGCAAGTTTCGTAAAACGCACGCAGACTTTGGGTCGATCACCAGGTCCTACACCTTATTCAGATCTGGCGGTGTAAGGAATCCGACCGTAAAACGGGAAAGAGAAGCAAGAGCGCGATACGGTGCGAGAGAAAAAGAGAGAGAAAGAGAGAATATTTTTTATTACCGATGAATTTAATGTTATAGAAAATTGCTCATATTATTAGCAGAATTGAATCGTTTAACATTACCGATACTTTTGCAATGTTCTAATTTCTAATTCACGATAAAAAACAGAATAATATCAAAGTAGGAAATATATTTAAAAAATGTATGTTGACTAAGAAATGTTCAAAAATAGCAAAGAGATAATAAAATATTATTGTCACATAATAACAGTAATAGATATGTTAAAAATAATCTTTCCAAATATTTTCTAGCTGTCTCTTAGTGTATTTTACATATTAATATACTTAAATATCTAATTTTGACAAACTACTGACAATGTATGTGTGTGTGGAGAGTTTAATGATATATATTGGTGTGTAATGTGTAACGTATACTGTTTTATGTCCTGTGTTTGATCAGAGAAAAATTTTACGTTTTTTTGATCAGATTAAATTGTGAAATAATTATGTATTAGAAAAATAATACACATCTACACACGTAAAAAAATATTAATTAACTACAATCAAACGTAATAGAACTAGCTTCAATAAATGCTATATATTAGATGGAATGTTTTATGTCAAATAGTTCTAAACATTTTACAAAAATATGCACTTTACTTTAATGTTTAATTTATTTAGATTTCTCATTCATTCAAAAACATATAAAAATTTTATAATTAAAAATACCTTTTTATTGTATCTTCAACACTAATCTTGTATTTAATTTTTCTTTGATAATACTTTTCCTCGATAAGTGCTGCTTTCGAACTTATATCTCACGTATAAACGTATAATTTTTATTCACAGATTATATTAACAAAGAGTTATTATTGCTTTCATACACCATTTGCACCATGAATCGTAGAAAATATTACATTTACATACTCCACAAAGTCTCTCTAATTTAAACACACACTACACTAATATTGTTTAAACTAATAATAATATTGTTTAAAACACACAAATCCGGATTTAGCAATTAAAAATTTCTATTTTTGATAGAGACTTCACATTTTCACGTAACAAAAGTCATGGGATCGCGAAGATCATTCGATCGAATGGCAGCGTGACACTACACGCGAATCAATATCGCCTCTCGCGAAACGCGCATATTGCATCAGTTAAACTACAATAACTTCTCTTGGTGCTGTAGGTGGTTGTAGGATAAGCTATTCGCGAATCACTTTAAAACGACTGGCCAAGTAACCGACAGAAGAGCGATCTTTGGCCAGAAGCCAGATCCTCCTACGCAAATTTGGTTTTTTCTTGTCGCAAGAGGTCAGAGCACTATTCTCTCTTACGTCTTTCTTTTCATCGATTTCAATGACTCTGGATCAAATCACGTAAATAATATGTATTTCTACGTTTTTCTGCAATATTCAAATAACGAATAAGATATCTAATATCTCAGAGATAGCAATACAAAATTGTTTTCTAAATATGTGATCATTGCCATTGCGTGCTGCCAAATAAATTTTCACCTTGGTGAATCTTACTGTTATTTGCATTATTTCAAAATATAAACTTAACCATACAGCTATAAAATATTTAATGTCGATTATATATGATGCACGTATAATCATAAATCACGTTCTCGATTTTAAGACTTACATATGTGATAGATGAAAATAATATTGTGTACATATATGCAACATATTGTACATATATACATTTTATTATATACATTAATGCACATAAACGTGATACTAATCAAACAACACGTTTAATAAAAATACGCATAAAATGATATACAGAGATATACACACTACATCAAAAGATCAAGATGGAGCTAGAAATGTCACTCAGAGAATTCAACAAGTGCTCCGTCATAATAATAAATCCGTCATAATAAATCTCTTCAGCAGACACTCTTGCAAATACTATCAGTACTGTCATCTGAAATGATGTAGCAAAGGCGTGAGAACACAGAATGTGTCGGATATTCGGTCTCACTTCAAAGATAACCTTTTGCTAGACAACTGCTTTTGTTAACTGTAGTTGCTCTGTGCTCTCTGCCGTTTTACGCGAGAGGGGCGACAATTTCCAGATAGTAACTGTCGTCGGTGCAATCATCAGTCAGCCTACAAGGAAAGCATTTAATATCCTTTAGCGACTTTGTGCCGCCTCTGAACACTGTGCGACTACGCAAGAAAGTTCACTTGGACTGTTCACAAGTGGACAGTTAGCCCGGTATATCTACCGGTGGTCGTACCAGCACGTACTAAGAAATTTATACAGCCGCTTCAATCGCGATAATTGCTCAGCCACTTCGAGTATGTACGTTCATTTACTGCATTAATTGGATCAGTAGCCGATGCCATCGCGTCTCTTAAATGCATAGCATAATCGATCAGCTCTTCTTTCACAGTTTTTGCCGATCATCTTTGAGACAAGCATCGCTATAACAAAATTTTGGAATTAAATGCTAAATAACTTAGCACGCGAGACGGGGCGAGAGAAAAAGAGAGAGAAAAAAAGAGAGAGAGAGAGAGAGAGAGAGAGAGAGAGAGAGAGAGAGAGAGAGAGAGAGGGGAGAGAGCGGATCTCGCAGGCGAGACGCTTTTATTCCCATCGCATTATTTAGCGGTAAAAGCGCGCTCGCGTCTGCGACTCCCAGAGCTTATGTTGACATTGACACGATTTTCACATTACAACACATTGACGTCACATTGAAGATGCGTGGAAGTGGGTGAATCTCGGAGATGAGTGAAGTCTAACGTGAAATGACAGTCGACGATAGAGACATACACACACAGCGTGAGCACCAACCTTCAGACCATCCTCGCGTCGCATTTAGTAGCGTAGGTAGGTTACGTAGGTAGACGTCGGGCTTTTCGTACGACGTGACACACGACGTGCAAAATTCTTCGCTTCGGATGCACAAAAACACTGGCGAGCGGATATCGCGTGGAATATAGGGCTCGGCGAAGAGAGCCAAGAGAAGCCAAGTTTTCCACGTGAATACGACTCGCGTCGCACTCTCGCGCTTTTTTCCGTCGATCGTTCTTCTCGCCCAATCGCGCGAGCACCCTGCGCCGGCGGCGAACGATCAAAACAGAGGAAGGAGGGCGCGCCGCGACGCGACGCGACGCGGCGGCGGCGGCGGCGGCGGCGATAGGGGTTGGTGGGGAGCGAGAGGTCGCAGGCATTGAGCGGGCGCGAGCGAGTCAGCGAGCGAGTCAGCGAGCGAGCGAGAGAGAGAGAGAGAGAGAGAGAAAGAGAGAGAGAGAGAGAGAGAGAGAGAGAGAGAGAGAGGGAACAGACGGCGAGGGGACAGCGAGAGATAGACGGGGTCGTGTCTTGTATTGCGTAGTAAACGCTTGAATGGATTATGTCACACGGCAGGCCAAAATCAGCCACAGGGTAGAAAACACGCAGAAAACTACCGTCGAGAACCCGGTCGCGTCCAACTCGTAGACGTATGGCGGTTGTTCGTTCTTCCTATACACCTCGCACGATAAATACAATATACAATGCCAACGACAAACACGACACGAGATACGACGCGACGTGACGTGACGTGCAGAGCGTAAGGGACGCGAACGCGTACTCTCCTTTCCCCGATTTAAGGCGGCGGAGTACGGGACACAACGCCGCCGCAATCGATTGTCGCGCTTGTACATCACGTACGTCATCATAAGTGTTCCGGTTAGCCCCGTTACCGCGGGGCGAGGGCGCGCACACATACACATTTCCGTCCCCCCGCGTCCCGCTCCAGTGCTCGACGCCCACGTGCGTTCACACGAGTCTCGGGCGCGTCTCGTGCACAGCGTCACCGCATTCCTCTATCTCGTTTGCTCCGCTTTCCTTCCCGTTCTTCCTGTCTCATCCCTCTCCCACTGACGCTGACGCATCTATATATGTCGTATGTATGTGTGTGTCTGTGTATATATATGTGTGGTGTATGCGATGCATGCATGTATACATATATATATATATATATATATATATATATGTCATATATATTTATATATCTTGCCGTTTCTCTCGCTCCAATTTCTTGGCTCGCGCCACATCCGATATATCCGAATGATTGACGGTCGCCGAAAATTACTACATGGCCGTTCTGCGACGGGGTTGCAAGCGAGTCGCTTTTGTTTTCGCGCGAGAAGGGACGCGCGCCGCAAAGAGGCATATCATCGTCGTGAGAAGGAACGCGCACGTTATCACGTGGTCAAGCGTGCCCTTTCCGAGATCACTCACCTCGTACGTGCCCGTCGCAGCTTGGGGCACAATTCACGTGCTCGCACGTCGCGTTGCAGTTCGCGGAGGCGACAACGGAAGCCTTGCGGTCGGCGTATCTCTCACTCGTCTCTCCGTTTCTTCCGGGAATATGTATCCGTGCACCACATCCCACACACGCGCACACGCACATGTACGTACGCGCACCAACACATATGCACACGAACACACACGAAGGCTCCAACTCTCTCGCGCGAGTTTGCTGTACGCGAATGTAATAAACTCTCTTTCTCTCCCTCTTTCTCTTTACCCTCGAATACAACGCGCGCGCGGTTCGCTTTTACCGAGAGCAGACGACACACCACGTATATACCGACCCACGAGTCGGCTGCTACTGCTCGAACGAAGCCGCGATTGTACACACATCGACAGCCAAACGCGACCACGAACGTGACAGTTGTATGAGAAACGTCACTCCACCACGATGCGGGCGCCGCCACGTGGTCGGCATCGAGAATCGCTTCCAGTGAGAATTATGGGTGTACGTACAAGACGGGTTTCTTAACGATTGTCGATTCGATGGATTTTCAATTTGGCGGGCAAGGTCGAGAAAGAAGGATTGGGGGTAAGTATATATTATTAATTCGCAAGTAATATTATCGCTCAAAACACGATATTCACACAACATAAATATATATTTATATATCGTTTTTGAGAGTTGGAAACGTTACTTTATAAAAGTAACTCGTTATCGTTATAAGAGAAGTTGATGCTCCACGGTATCATCATTTAGATGACATCTTTTTATTAATATAAGGAGATGATTGATTGGCTACGGCATTCTTATCATGCGTAACGCATTGACGCGTTCTATGTTCCAGAGCCATTAGTCAAAAACAAAGTAACGATAAAAGTAACTGTTAAAATCGTTACTCGTTAAACAATGTAAAGGCTGATTTATGCAGGCCGTAACTTTTGTTCATAATGGCATTATGAACAAAAGCATTGTAATCCTAGTGTTAAACTTTAACGGTTCCGGCATAAATTAATAGTTACGGCCTGCATAAATCAGCCTTAACGGCGTTACCGTTACCGTTACAGACAACGAAAAGTAACGCCGTTACCAATTCGTTACCAAAAAAAGTAACGGTAACGGCGTTACAAGTAACGCGTTACTTCCCAACCCTTATTTGATTTTAGTCAAATTATTCAAAGCATTTTTAACCAAGTAGTGTACATTCTTAACGTATGCGTAGAATAAAAATATCATATACATGGTGTAAAAAAGATATAGGATTTAAAAAATAGATATTATCCAATAAATCGAGTAAAAAATGCTTGATGAGTAGGTTGAAAAAGGAAGCAATTTTCGATTTTGGCAAAGCAAGCGATTTGTTATCTTCTATTTATTGTATGTGACATAAAAGTAGAGGATTATCTTACACGTAATTTTATTTTGATTCTTACAAAAGATGTTCTATGTATTCTTTCCTTTGCATGTATAATTATTACTTTTATTATAGAAATACAAAGTTTTTAAAAAATTCTTATTTTGAATCACTTAACAAGTATTTCAATTTCGCTGATATAAATCTTGTACATCTTTCTTTCCAACTTATATTATATACATATAATTAAAACGTGTTTTATTATGTGCTTATGTGTCATGAAATGAAATGGATGCTAAGGAGTGCTAAGAATAAAGGAAGTTTGTCCGGGCCCGACGTGCTAAGAATAAGAATAAAGTTTCAACGCTCTGTAAGTTTTTTAAATTATTTTCTAAATATCTCTCTCTGTAAAAGAAATTAATAATTTAATTTTATACATTAATTGCTATGCGTATAGTCTTATTGTTGGATAGATAAAATATTTTTGCCATCTAGAAAAATTAGATTATTTAAAAAACGATTGTATATCGACAATCCCGATTAAATTATTCTGATTATTTTCTGATCAATATTATTTGTCCTTCAATCAAGACCACGGAGTCCTTGAATTTTTATTCGTGATCTATATTTGTTTATCGCATTAATAATATTAGATAGTGATTTTTGTTAGGCCACCGTATCAAATCAACAATGTTGATCGACATATTTGACGAGATAATTCGCGATAGCGTGAATGTTTCTTAGATAAATATTTTGCGAGTAATTGGTGCAGTACACGCGATTGATAGTCGACATCTGGTTTGTCTCAATTTCAATCGCTTCTGTCTCATTCGTTTGGCTTTCTTTTTCTCTTCTTATAATTCACTTCTAACACAAGAGCAATCTCTCTCTTTCATCAAAGGAAACATCGCGACGTTCTATGCCAGTTTCTGTATGTCTTATATATGTCGAATATCCGTCGTGTAATCTCGTGGCTATTGCCAATTTAGTGTGCATTCTGTTGTGCAAAATAAAGCCACGAATCTTGATGTTTATTAACATTATTCACCCTTTGAGATACTTCTCGTTGATAAAGGTGTTCATTAATTTTTAACTTTGTTTGTGATGTTTTCCAACCTGTTCCTTTCTGTTGGAACTTTTACATATTAAAATTGTACATATTAAGGTTTGTGTTAAGAATTACTTCGCTCTTTTTTATTCACGTTTGAAATACTGAATAATTATACCGAAAAAAAGGCATTACTACTTTGAGTGTAGTAACTACATACACTTTCTTCTGTATACACGGAGAAAATATTATAGTAAAAATTACAATATATTTTTTTTCTTATTGCAAAACGTATTAACATAAAAGAAAAATCACAATATTTTTATTTACATACGTATTATATTTTACAATAAAAAGTTGTAATTATTCAAATATTTTGATGCACAAATGGATGCATAATTTACAATTTTTACAGTAATAAATATTTTATGTTATATAAATATTTAATGTTATGTTCCAGCTTTACAATAAATGTTATAAAAAGGTATTTTTCATGTAAAATTTTTTCCTTGTATAAAAATATAACGAGAATTAGTACTATTTATAATTCATTTAATAATTTATTGCGCATTGCAAAATTTATATTCTTTAGCAATTTTTAATATTTATTTATTATTTTATTTACAATATATATCCAACACACAGAATCTTAATATAAATTTATTTATCAATTTTCTCGGAACATACACACACACACAAACCATAAATACCAAAATACCAATAATTTATAAGTTTGTAAGTGAAATATTATAATAATGAACATCTTGTGTATAAAATTTAATTTGTTATTTATAGAAAAAAATGTAGATAATGTAGAAAGCGATATCACGATTGCTGCTATAGTAGCTGTCATTTAGTCGCCACACAGCTATAACATCTTCCGGTAAAGTCCTGTTATATTAGTAATTAAAACATTTCGTAGCGAAAACAAATATATATAGACATAAAAGTATTTTATTATTTGTACCTATATAAATTCTTAAAATTATTTAGGTAAATAGACAATGTGTCTAAATTAAACAAGTTTATTATATTACAGTTACAAATAACTTATTCGTAAAAATATATTAGAGATCTTTAAAAAAAAAGATTGTGTGCCGATCGAAAAACTAGTCTCTCTTTTATAATTCCCATTTTGTCCCAATTAAACATATTTAATGCGCGATATAATAAATAAAATTTTGGCGAAAGATTTTCCACGAAATTATCTAGCTTAGTCTATTTTCTTCTTGAAGACATCCTGACCAATTACCGCTCGCCAGCATAATTTCTTGAGTCCGTAAATTATCAGAATTAAACTCGATATATAAAATATTGCGACGTCCATACTATAATAATGGAACGTGCTCATGTATCTGAAAAATGTTGTATTTCATTTATGTAATTTCTCCAGTTTTATATATTAGAGATTTATTTGCTATATCGAATGTCTCAATACATTTTATATATAATCTATTTCAATAAATTTGTCGGTACATTAAAAATTAATAATTTTAATAAAAATATGGAGAGAATATAAGAGAAAGGAGTTAGAGAAGAATTAGAGAAATACTTGATATGAATATTAAATATTAATTGAAGTACATCTATTTGATTTTCAAAGAAACAGATAAAAATAGAATAAAAATAAAAATATTAAATATTATATTATTTCAATGAGAAGATATTGAGGCTAAGTAATACTAAAGTAGAGTAAGAAAAAATGAGAAAGAGGAGTTAGAAAAGAGAAAATTGAGAAAAAAAGAGAAAAATAAATATAGTATAAAAGGAATGGAGAAGCATTAGAGAGGAAACATAGTACAAGTATTGATAAATGTGGAAAAATATAAGATAAGAAATATATAAATTGAAAGAGAAAAGAGCGAGGTATTTTAAGATGAAACGTATGATAGGATATTAGATGGTAGTAACGAAGAAAAGTACATAATATAGGAAGTAAGGAAATAAAGATCCTTGGATAAATGAAAAAAGATTATATGTATAGAATATTTCTTAAAAAGATACGAAATAGGAAGGAGGCGTATAATGATGATGATAATGCGAGAAAAATATTACCTGATCGAGCTCTTCAGATGATCGGCTCCTCCATGTTTGGCGACGTGTTCTACCCACCACGTGGCCAATTCTCTGGAATCAATCGGAAGATCGCGAAGCAACGCGCTTCGCTTTTTAGCTGCCTCTCGATAAGAATTATTGTGAAGTGCGGCAACTTTAAGTATACCTTCGTGAAGTGCACTAATGGATATACCGGCCAAATCCATTACCAAAGCGTAACCTAATTTTTCTGCGTTAAATAAATATACGAAAATATAGTGAATCAATCAAAAATAGATAATTTATCGGGCCTACATATCTCCTAAAATGTTTTTTTACGAATTATTTGTAAAAATATAAAATTTTAACGGTGAGGGATGAAACCATCCCTTATATGTAGAGTGACTTTTTGCTTTTCTCGACATATCTCGAAAACTATTCTAGATATCAAAAAATGTTTTATACAAAAGTTTCATGGTAAAAATAGCTCTATTTAATAAAAATTTATATTAATAAAAATTCCAAAAAACAATTTTTTTTTTTTTTTTTTTAAATTATTGGGAATAATTAATGAGAATTTTGCAGCAAATTTGATTAGCTTTAAATGATTCTAAGGCACGCCTAAAACCTCGTTTCAATCGCGAGGGTAGAAGATAAGAGGTTTACTAAGTATTTATTTTTATCATTAGAGCGGTGTATAAATTTCACGCGAAGCGAAGGAAATAATTTACCGGCCTGCGCCGCGTTTCCATCGTGATCGCAGAAGACCGGCAGAATCAGGGTCGGCGCGCCGTGATAAGCTGCTTCGTGGAGGGATAACAGTCCGCCGTGGGAAACGAAGGCGCGTAATTTGGGATGTCCGAGTAGCTCCTGCTGCGGCCACCAGGCAGCCGTTCTCACGTTCGCAGGTAGATCTTTAATCTTGGCACCCTCCCACTTCCAGATGACGTTGTACGGTAGCGCGGAGAAGACGGCGACGAAGATCTGCCGTAGAGCCTCCGGCATTCCGGAAGCCTGCACCGATGATCCCATCGAGACGAACACGAAACCTGCGGCAAAATTTCCTCAATGTCTCGATGTTGCATGCAAGTTTAGTTAGAGATGTTTATCGCGCGTCTGCTAACAGTAACACGAGGGGAAGATAGCGTCAACACGACACGAAATAACCGTTGTACCTTGGAGCTGTACTTATTACATATACGCAATACGGCCCCTTATGTAATATGCAAGAAATGTCGTCAAGCGTTGAGAGGTTTAAACGAGACTTTTACGCTAAAAAGAATTTAAAATCTTGTATAAAGAGCGAATATGCAGCAGTTTTGTCAATTACTTATTGAGTTTACTGCTTTATTTTCTTTCTCTAAAGAAATTTTTTTTATAAAAATGTATTTTTATTAAAAAAAAAATATGTTTTATTACATGATGAATAAACATTTAAAATGTAATTTTTTAAGCTTACGATAATTTTGCTCTGAAATATAAAAGCTTTAGACAGTTGTTAGAAAATTGTGAATTTTACGTAGAAAAAATAGGAAATGAAAGAGAGGAAAGAAAGAATGTGCTTGCGATATATATTACCAGGTCGCAGAAAGGATTCCAGATCGGAATTTAATTGCATTGCCGGTCTACAATGAAGGCAAGCCACGTTCACGACATTTGACAAGTAGGGCACGGAATCGGCCACGGTGTAATGACTGTTCTGCAACGTCAAAGGAACCTCCGCCGTTAAACTATACAGATCGTCGGGTATTTGATCACCTGTCGAAAGCAAAATTGACCACTATTATTATTATAAATATCTGATTAAAAATAAAAGGTGCACATACAGTTGAAAAATTTGTGTTAAATTTAACAGATATCATATGTCTCAAACGATCCACACAAATTTTTGTGTTAATTTAGCATAAGATGAATATGTTGTATGGTGACGCTAATACTATGTTAATATTTTAACACAAAATAAATGCAAGTTTTCAAAGTAATTTGAAATAAATTTTGTATAAAATCAACATATTTTTAATGATAGAATTAACTTGGAAAAATGTTATTGACGGTCTGTAGTTATTCTCACTCTTATTGTAGGATAAAATCAACATTTTTTTTTCTGTAAATTTTGACAGATAAATCTTGTCACTAATAATACGGAACATATCTATTATGTAAAATTAAAAATAGATGCACATTGTGTTATTTTTACACATTTTTCAGTTGTTTTAATAATTTAACAATTGAATTCAATTAACACAACAGCAATATCTTAAATTAACATATGAATGTGTTAAATATCTAACACAAGAATTTTAACCGGCATATTTTTTTTAACAAGAAAACAAATTTTCCAACTGTGTGATTATACATACAGCATATCAACTTTCATCAAAGAAACATCAACGAGCGCTCACCGAGATATTTCTGAAGAGTTGGCCGAAGGTAAACGGAAATTGTGATCCAATGCATAATTTTCAAAGTGAACTGGGCCGCCACGTTTAAGACCCTTTGGAAAAAGTTCATATCTTGCGTAATCGCTTTGCCGAAATACGGCGTCACCGACCACGGTGACGGATTGCCTTGGCGCATAATGGATCCGCTGTACAATGCCACCTGTATAATATATAACATATCGTTTCTATTATTAATAATGCACGGCAAATGCGATTAATTTTAACGAGTTGAAGATATTGATTTCACGAAAAAAAAAAGTCGGAGAAAAATATTTTTCTTTTAAGTAAAAAAAAAGCGCTGTCCCGCCATCATAAAAACTCGCTTATGTTCACGTATCGTCGAAGTCATTAAACGAATAAATGACGAAAGCAGAAATATTGATATACAAATAGAATAGTTAAAACTTAACTTGTAAGTTTCTAAAACATGTCTTTTAGCATGTCTAGAGAGACGTATATAAATTATTCAAGGAGACGACTACCTATCGTCATATTAGTTACACACAGTGAACATAACACGGTATTCACCGTTTACTTTTCATTTGTATACGAAAACGTGAGGATACGACAAACAAGCCTGTTTTGTACATTCCACACTCATGAAATAACTACGATAAATATCTATATACAATTTTGTTTGAATATCGTTGCACAATTTCGGTAAACGTATTAAGCAGTAAAAAGAAGAAACGTTTACGTTTATTCCAAAACTTATTTTTTAAACTATTAAATAGAAACCTGTTTGTTTATTGTCTATCTGATGTACAAAACAATCAATTCCTATATAAATTAAATATTTCTAGACGTTCTCTAAAATATATATAAACATAAAATCAAATATCGAAATAAAATGGCAAAAAGAGCCAAGCGCAGTAATGAGGGCGTAAAAATATTTATTTAAAAGAATTAAATTAATCGCGAAAGGCGGACGTTTCGGCCCTTTTTTTGGCCATAAATATTTTTGCGCCCTCATTACTGCGCTTGGCTCTCTTTGCCATTTTATTTCGATATTTGATTTTATTCGATAAGAGCCTTACATTTATATCTTATTTTTAATATAAACAAGTAATTAAGAAGTTAAAAATATATAAAAGCAAAATTTCAACTCGTATTTATATGAAGAATCCGCTTTACGGATATTTAATTTTAAGCTTCTTATTTCAAAAATTGTTAAGCATTTTCCATGCAATATTCAATCATGTTTATCGATATTTAACCACTAGTAAAAAGCAAACTAATTAAAAAATTAATGTCTTATGTATATTGCAAAATGTGTTGTCGCATGTCAATGTTGTCTATATTTATAGCGATATATTTAAAAAAATACCTCGATAATTCTAATATGAAAAAGTGCGATGCGATTCAGAATTATAATTTAATCCTGCATCGCTCTTTTTACTTTTACAGCTACAATTTTTATACGAATTAATCCATCTTATACATAATTGTTTCATGATCCAAATCTATGTACATAATAAATATACAGGGTGTCTATAAAGTCTGTCCCCACCTCCTATATTTCGGAAATGGCTCAAAATTATGAAAAGCCGCGAAATACGTGTTTGATCATTTGGGAAGACGTTGGAGGTGTGAAAGTGTTCGTCTTTTTAAGTCCTTTCCACAAAAAAATTCAGATTTGACCTTGGTCTTTTTTTAAAGGGTACGCAAAAACTGTTAAATTCAAGATGACATTTTTTTTTTTTTGTGATACCAAAGTCAAATCTGATTTTTTTTTTAATGGAAAGTACTTAAAAAGACGAACACTTCACATTTCGAACATTTTTTTTAGGATTTTCCAAATGGGAGTAACAATTTTTTGAAAATTGGCCTTTTCGAATTTTGATCTGAAATAACTGCCGAACGGGTATGTCCGGATCAATGTATCAACCTCCGTTTTGCGCAAAAATTTTCTTTTTTTATGTTCTTTCAAACGATATATTATTCCATTTAAAATTTTTGAGTTGGTGTCACCCTGGGACACCCCCTTGAGGGGACAACTCCCCCAACTTCCTTAAAAGAGTAGTCCCTCGAAATGATCAAACACATATTTCGTGGATTTTCATAATTTTGAGCCGTTTCTGAAATATAGGGGGTGGGGACAAACTCTATAGACACCCTGTATATACAGGGTCTTCCAGATTAGATCAATGAAATTTCAGGGTTTTATAGGAAATTGAATTTAGAACAAAAATTTCCTATAAACGTAGATCTGGAATGAAATGCTTCGTTAAAAGGTTATAACTAATAAATTCTAAGTAATCAGTTATGATTAAAATTTAATAAGAACATTTTTATGTTTGCATTTGCAATGTTTGCACTATGAACATAGTGTTTACACAAAGACCACCGAAAAATGGCTTTTTCAAGTTTCTGTTTCTTTCGTTGCTTTGAGCTTATTTTTTTTGGACACCTTATCAGAATTAAAAGAAATTGGTATAATTTAGTTTATCATTTAATTACCCATCAAATTTATTTCGTTACTTTTTTCAAATGAATAAAGGATTTTAAAATTATTTTTAAAAATTATTAAAAAAACGTGATTTTTATTAGCTGTAACTTTTTAACGAAGTGTTTCCGGATTTATGTTTATCAGAACTTTATTGTTTCAAATTCAATTTCTTATAAGACCCTGACCTAACCTAACCTAACCTGAAGTTTCATTCACCTGACCTGGAACACCTTGTATATCACAAGTGATTCAAGTAGAAGGCGAGTCGACTCTTGTCACAAACGAGATAGGGAAACGAGGTATAAGCTCTAACAGAATTTGAATTACTCGGGGAGGGTCCCGTCACGTTTCTGCGGTTTGGTGAATAGCTATTACCGTGTTGAGCATTATCGTCGGTACATTCTCGCCGTGGAGGATCCCCAGCAGGCACTCGGGAAAAGCGCCGTCGACCACCGCGACATTCCATCGCGCGCGCGGATTGCCATCCGGTTTTTTCAGACCGGCTGTCGACGCCGCGTCACGTAACAATGCCTCGCAGGACTCCCAGCCATACCTCATGGCGTCCCATGGTGAGATCGGGAGCTCATTCCGGAATCTGGCACCCACCAGATCCCACTCGGACGTGAAGTTCTCGACGTAAGCCTGCCGTAAGAATTATGCGCGCGTGAGTAACATAAATCTCTTTCGCGAAGCTCGATGTGTCGGAACTTTAATCCAAAAACTTCGAATTTCGATCTGTCAAACTTTCGACAAATTACGAAATTTAGAGTCAAACTTTCTTGTCTTCGAAGATAGTTTTACAGAGAAAAAAAATATAACGGGAGAATATAAATCGCGAGAACAGTTTTTATATATTTTTCTAGTAGAAATAAATTACTTCTAAATTTATCTTTAATTTCTAATTATTGTATCGCTATTCTAAAAACAAAGCATGAGAACATTCGAAAGACTTTGCATCGCATCCCTTGACTTTTATAACCAATGCGCAAGCGATAAATCTTAATATTATTCGAAATGTCCCATTATATAGTCAAGCTGCCCCGCCTATCTTATAAAATTAAAAAGTCCATAGAGACGAGAGAGTTAAGAAAGGAGGTAATCAAGGAGAGGATCGTATAAGCGGACAGCTGATACGGTAAATTACACCGCGTGTAATAAAATTAGGTAGGTCAAGAGCCAAATTGGACGGAGGAAGAAAACGACGAGCGATAGCCCGCGGTGGTTTCTGGGGATCGCGATTTTACCGGACAGGGGCATCGAGTTAGTGCGGGAGTAGGTCGTAAATCACCTCGAGGATCGACGGCACCAGCTCGTGAAGCCCATTATTCGCTGCGGGACCAGAGAAAGCGCTCAGCAGCGTGACGTTGTGGCCCCGCAAACTCAGGCTCGTACCAAGGGCGACAAAGGGCACCGTGTGAGACTTGGTACCACCCATGGTGGCCAATAAAACGTCATATCCTAGCAGGGGCTCGATCAGCACAAAGATGCCCAGGAGGAGGGCGAGTTGGCGCGTCATCTTCGTCGGAAATCGTCTTATCGCTTCGACCGAGACACGTCCTTCTCGCTTTTATCACGCGGCGAGGGTACCGATACCGCGCGCGATACCTTCTCAACAAAGAGGGACAATCGTCTCGCGATCTTGCACCGCGGACATAGTCACGTTATGCTCGAAGGCGCGTCCCTCTCGTCACGAACTCTTTTGTGCATCGACGAAGCGAGAAACCGATGAATCTGTATTCTCTCCACGGATCGTTTCCGGTCGCTTGACCGAGGTGAACGGATCTCCTTATGCTCCAATTAGCGGCACCGATAAATCGCGTCGTGATCGCGATCGTTCCGTGATAGTCGTTTTGCGAAGGCGTCCCAACCGATCGCCGGTCGTCTCTGTGACTGCGGCGGATTCCGCGCGCATCCTCCGCCTTGTATTCTCGCGCGTTTTGGGAATCGCTTCTGTCTCTCCCTCCCGAAACCGCACCAATATAATAGTCTGAAACGCGAGCGGTCTTTCGAGTTGTAAACAGGTGATTTCATCAAGTTAAACAAGTCATTGTCATTCTAATGCACCGTCGAAAAGAAGATAGTTGGCCTGAAATTTGAATGTCTATAGTGAATCGCAGCCACTCCAGACTCTACGCGCGTTCGTCTCTTTCAATTCTCATTCGCTTCCGGCAAGCGCGAATGGTTTGAAAGATGCCATCTCGCTTTGTGCGTCAGGTTTACTCGTCGAACTGCCGGGGTCTTTTGCAATAATCTTCTTTGTACTGCAAGATTTCATTAAATAAATGGAATTCTCTTGACTTTTTCGAATGAAAGGTTAACCGGAAATCAAATATTCTCTAATCTCTCTCCTCCTAGTTGAGAGGAAATAGAATTTGTCGATTGTGTAAGAAGCTATTTCTCGTTGGCCTCTTGATCAATCTCGCTTTCTTCCTCGATACATAAATTCCTGTTCTAAACGAGTTTTGATTATGCAGATTAGTAAATTAGTTATGTAAGAGAGAAAGAGATAGAGAGAGACTCACTTTCGGTATCTTTACAAATGCTGAAAGATGTTAGATGGCTGATGATCTTCCTGAAGTTTATCATTAAACTCTTACTTACACCTTTTTGATATCCATCTCGAGATGACAATTGTCGTAACATATAGCGGAAAAGAATATTGTAATATTTTTATCAAATATATATAATATATATACTGAGTGTTATTATATAAATCCGTTTATCTATCAATTTTCTACAAATTTCGCCAACATGTATCAGGTTTGTTATCATCTTCAAAGAACAGATATACATTTAATTCGTTCATAATTGATTCTATTGTGACTTAAAAGCTGGAAAATTATACATAAAAGAGTATCCAGCATCAGAGATGCTTTTCACTGCACTCTGTATGCACTCTTTACTGCACTTTTTGATCTGTATATTTATGTATATATTTTACATTCAAGAGACTTTAATACTTCGTTTTTCTCTTTTCCCCCTTTTTAAATTCTCGCTGAATCACGACGCGCTTGAAATATCTTCAAATTGCGAAAATCGACGATTAAAAATATCTTTTTATTATCGACTGCATTTTATTTCCGGTACAACGATTGCGAAGTCGCGGTTTTACAAAAGTATCCGATCTAGAAGTTGTTTGCGAATCTTTTTGCTCCTGATAGCTCTCGAAGAACTTGGTGTGGTTTCGCGTATCTCTTCCGCGGATCCTTTCTCTCGTCGAGCAACTCGTCTAAGAGTACTCGAACTTCTTTTTCCGATCCAATATTCGAGGAGAAGTATTGTACTGTGGAAGATGACGAGCGACTCTCAAGGCGTACAACTTTTTAAATCGCCGCGTCTACCGATGTTGTGTGTGTGTGTGTCATGCGTTGAAATTCGAACGTCGTCGAGACCGCCCCTCAATTTTCGCTCAATTATCTCTTCCTTTCTCCGACCAGATGAAGATCTCTTAATCCTTCCTTTCCTCTGACCTTCTTTACCCCTTTCACGCGATTCCTCGGCGACGCTAGTCTTGATCTTCAAACTGTACACGACTTTCACTAATAACGCACGCCTCGTATGCGGGATCGCCCGTGGTGATAATTCGATCCTGGAAATATCCTATTGCTATTTCCCGCCTCTCATGGTTTCTCGTATCATTACCACATCTGTTTTCATTTGCTCTCGAAATTGAGATATTTCTTGCCACGCGTGAAATACACTATGTAAATGAACGAATCGTTTCAAACTGAATATATCTTGAAGTGCAGTTAATTTCTCTTCGCCGATTTAATTTGTAAACAGAGAGAGGTAATTGTGTATTCTAATATATTCTTGTATATTTTCTCTACCCCAGCTCTTTAACGTTTCTGTCTGCGATAATTTATCAAATCCGTACTCGCAAAATTTGCAACTCAACGACCGCCACACCCACACACGAACAATCTTTCCGAGCAATTTGAAATGATCGAATACGAATAGTTATACGTTCGCTGCGGACAGTCGACGGTACACAAGAACTATCGGTGAAGTGTAAACAGCAAGCGCGAATCAGAATTGATTCGCGAAGAAATTCAGTTACGGTGACTCGATTTCCACTGCGACATATCTATCCCCTGGTGTACCCAGCCAACTTTCTGTCGGTATTTTTGCCTTTTCGATTTATGTCGACAATTTATTTTCGAAACACGCGGTTAGCCAGCGGATCTCCCTCGCGCTTTTTCTCGTCTCGCTTCGCGGCCGGATCGAGCACGGAAGCGCGGACCTTGAAATCGATAGCGTTGGTGTATAGCTCGCTCGCGAAGCTCGCGTATCGCCGAGCGTGAAAGTTTGACTGTGCCAACGGCAGCTTTAATGATCAGCTGAGCTCTAGAGAGAGAGTTTTGCCTCCCACCAGGACGTTCGTTCTTCATCGTCGGTCACGGTACCCGCGAAGATGTGTTTGCTGCGCTCCCGCGCATATTTACGCCTGTTCGCGCGGAGAAACGAACGCTTGTTTTGATTCGATTGGGCATCCCGAGGATTGTGAAAATAATTGTATGATTATACAGCAAAACGCGGCGTTGTCATTGAATCGAAATTTTGTCGAAGAGAAATGTTTTCTCTCTTAAATATATCTCTTATTGTGAAACAATAATTTTTTAAATTTACTCTCTCTCTCTCTCTCTTGTTCTTTTGGATTATATACATAGATGAATAAATAAATAAATCTCAATCTGGATACAAATTATGCATAATAGAATGAACATTATATTTCCAATATTTAATGGATATAATAACGAAAAAGATACTATAATAAAAGTATAATAAATAACTTTATTTATGCGCGATAATTTAGCAATGAAACTCATTTCAAGGATATATATAATTTCTGTTACTTTAACATATAATAATGTTATCTATTTATCAAAATTTGCTCAACGAAACAAGTGATATTCTTCTTCGTTCTCGATCTAGAGAGAGGATAAACTTCCTTTCACTTTATTTTAGATTACAATTGACTTATCGGCTATTACCGGCGATACCACATGGCCTCTCTCTTTC